TTTGTTTTCAAGGAACTCGAGTTTTGTTGTACATTTCTCCCATTCTGTCTAGGAAACATCTGTTGTACCCCTGGCCAGAGCAGTCAGTAATGGTAGCCAGGCACCATCTACTTCTCTCAAAGCCCATGAGGCCACGGTTCATGTAGACTCTTAGCCCTGCAAATCCGTTTCTTCTACAAGTCTTTGGTTTCTCTGGTGCTCCAGGTCCATAGAAACCACTAGCTGTATCTCAGATGGCTGCTTACAAGCTTCTAAACAACCCACCCCACACCCCACGCTACTCACCAAATGAGAATGTAGAACATTATCTTAATGAGTGTATCAATTGGCCAAGCTGGGCCCCCTCCTCCATCGCACCAATTTTTAAAATAATCCCACCAGACAAGTTTTTTTTGTTGGTTTCTTAAATTCATTTTATTGGGGGCTCATACAACTCTTATCACAATCCATACATACATCAATTGTGTAAAGCACATTTGCACATTCGTTGGCCTCATCATTCTCAAAACATTTGCTCTCCACTTAAGCCCCTGGCATCAGCTCCTCATTTTACCCCTCCCTCCCCGCTCCCCCCTCCCTCATGAGCCCTTGATAATTTATAAATTATTATTATTTTGCCATATCTTACACTGTCCGACATCTCCCTTCAACTTTTCTGTTTGCATCCCCCAGGGAGAAGGTTATATGTAGATCCTTGTAATCGGTTCCTCCCTTTCCACCCCACCCACCCGGTATCACAACCCTCACCACTGGTCCTGAAGGGATCATCTGTCCTGGCTTCCCTGTGTTTCCGGTTCCTATCTGTACCAGTGTACATCCTCCCACCAGGCACGTATTAATGTACTCATTTAATGAAGAAAAAGTGAAGCTCAGATAGGGAAGGCAAGTCGTCCAAGGAAATACAGGCCATAAGCAAAGAGTGGAGATTCAAAACCAGCGCTTTCTTCTAGCCCACGCAATATCAGAACCTAAGGCCAAGCTCATTGGCTCTGGAGATGGGACTCTCCATCTCTACTTCTCACTAGCTGTGTGATCTGGAGAAAATTGCTTAGTTTTCTGAGCCTCAGTTTACTTAACTAAAACAGGAAAAACCATAGCCCCTGCCTCATGGTGTTAAGCGAACTTAAGACAACATTGCAAGGAACATGTATTGCATACAGTAATACATACACAGTAGCTTGTTATTCATTATGCTTAGATCTCTAGGCAACCCCACCAGCCCCTACAGGACTTCACAGTGGTTGCAGGTGCCTAGCTGAGTCCAGTCCAGTCTTTGGAGCAAACCAGTGGCCACGCTCATTTCTGAGGGAGCTAAGAGAGCCCAGGCTTTGCAGCAACCTTGGAATGCCTGGAAATGACCCCCTCCACTCTCTGTTCTCGTTCCATGGCAGATGCTGAGCCAGACCCTGTTTTCATGGGGGTGGCATGACAGTTACAGCCAGTGGGTCCCACTCACTGACCTTATCATGATTGGCTCCTTCCCTTCAGTACCTTCTGGACAGGTAACCTAAAACTGCAGAGGGTAACCTAGAACTCAGAGACCATCTGGTCCCACCACTCATTTTATCAATGAGAAAAATGAAGATGAGATAAGTAGGGACCTAACTCTCCTAACTGGGCTATTGGAGTTTCTGATTCATATATCATCTCCATTTTTTTTCATAAAGGAGCCCTAGTGAGCTGTTAAGCTCTAAGGTTAGTAGTTCAAACCCACCAACTGCTTCTTGGGAGAAAAATGAGGCTTTCTGCTCCCATAAAGATTAACAGCCTCTGACCCATAGCATTACGGGGGACAACATTGGAGACGCAGTGTGAGAATTACGCCCAATCTAACCCCACCACACCGAGGCGAAACATTAAGGGAGTGCAACAGAATAGCAAGGGGAACAGAGGGAAAAAGTCCCCAGGGAATACCAAAAATAGACTTTGGGGCCAGGGCACGGCACCCCACCAGACTCCACCAGAAAACACTCCTAAAGGTCAACAAACAGACCTTGAACTATTTATAGGCTTTTTGGGGGGGTAATTTGTTTTGTTTTTGTTTTCTTTTCTTTTCTTGTATTGCTTTGTTTTGCTCTGTCTTTTTTGTGCATATTATTACTTCTGCAGGTCTATCTAGATGACACTCAGGATAAACAATCTGGAGGAGAAAACAATGGACCAATGGTTCCATGGGGAAAGGACGTAGTGTTAACAAACCCAGGGACAAGGGAACAAGTGAACCAAAATTGATGGTGAGGATGGTATAGGAGGCCTGGTAAGGCTTGATCAAGGGTAATGTAACTGAGGAATTTCTGAAACCCAAATGAAGGCTGGACATGATAACAGGACAAGAGAAAAGTAAAAGGAAATACAGGAAAGAACTAGGAGATAAAGGACACTTATAGAGGTCTAAATACAGGCATGTATATATGTAAATATATTTGTGACGATGGGGAAATAGATCTATGTGCATATATTTATAGGTTTAGTACTAAGGTAGCAGATGGACATTGGGCCTCTACTCAAGTACTCCCTCAATGCAAGAACACTTTGTTCTATTAAATTGGCATTCCATGATGCTCACCTTCCTGACACAATCGCTGAAGACAAAGCAAGTGCATAAGTAAATGTGTTGAAGAAAGTTGATGGTGCCCAGCTATCAAAAGATATAGTGTCTGGGGTCTTAAAGGCTTGAAGATAAATAAGCAGCCATCTAGCTGAGAAGCAACAAAGCCCACGTGGAAGAAGCACTCCAGCCTGTGTGATCATGAGGTGTCGATAGGATCAGGTATCAGGCATCAAAGAACAAAATATCATATCATTGTAAATTAAGGGGAGTGCAGATTGGGGACCCAAAGCCCATCTGTAGGCAACTGGACATCCCTTTACAGAAGGGTCGTGGGGAGGAGATGAGCCAGTCAGGCTGAAGTATAGCACTGATGAAACATATAACTTTCCTCTAGTTTTTTAATGCTCCCCCCCCACACTATCATGATTCCAATTCTACCTTACAAATCCGGCTAGACCACAGGATGTACACTGGTACAGATAAGAGCTGGAAACACAGGGAATCCAGGACAGAAAAACCCCTCAGGGTAAATAATGAAAGTAGCATTGCCAGGAGGGTAAGGGAAAGGTGGGGGTAGAAAGGGGAAACCAATCACAATGATCTACATCTAACCCTCTCCCTGGGGGGGACACAACAGAAAAGTGGCTGAAGGGAGGCATTTGTCAGTGCAAGACATGAAAAAATAATAATTTATAAATTATCAACAGTTCACGAGGGGTGAGGATGAGGAGCTGATACCGAGGGCTCAAGTAGAAAGCAAATGTTTTGAGAATGATGAGGGCAAGAAATGTACAAATGTGCTTGACGCAAGGGATGGATGTATGGATTGCGATAAAAGTTGTACAAGCCCCCAATGAAATGATTAAAATAAAAAGATTACCAGCCTCAGAATCCCACAGGAGTTCTACTCTGTCCTAAAGGGTCCTTATGAGTTACGCAGAGATTTTGGGGCGGGGAAGGGGTTATTTTTTGTTATGTCAAATTTAAATATACATATTCAAATTGCAAGCCTGATTTGGGAGGCAGGCCAAGACTGGGATCAGGCAGGCTTGGGTTCAAATCCCTACCCTTTTATTTGTTTACACACTAGAAAACAGTGGAGGGCAGAGGCTAAGAGCTTGAGTTTTAGTCCCAGTGCCACTTCCTGTCGAATGGCTCATTTTACCAATCACAGCTTGACCTCGGCAAAACCTATGCCACAGAGTCATCTGAGGATGGAATGAAAAACCCATCAACATGTCAAGCACTCAATAATAAAACTGTTGTTTCTCAATGTGTTATTACTCTTATCTTCATGCTATGCATGGGGTATGTTGCCAGCAAGTGGCAAGAAATTACCTCTGTCTCAAAGCTCCCCTCAGAGAATCATGGAAGGCTCATGCTGGCTAGGGCCCCATTTTACAGGTAAGGGAACTGAGGCCCGGAGGGAAGTGGCTTGCTGAAAGTTAGGGAGCAAGTTGAAAGAGTTGAATTAGAACCCAAATCTCTTGATCCTTTCTGACTTAATTCCAGAAGCATAGACCCTTGCTCTCCAGACAGTTGTGTTTGTGCATGGATTAACCAAGGAAGATGGTCTTTCACACCCAAATGCCACAGTGTAGCTGGTCAAGGCCAGAGTGGAATTAGAGCAATCTGGCTATCAAGGTTGCCCAGGCCAGAAGCAGGGCAGAGTGCCATGCCAACTGACAAGACCAACTGGGCCAGCAGCCAAAGTGACAGCGTAGGCACAGCTCAGGGCCCTCTCACCAGCTACATAATAAAGTAATTACGGGATTAGGGATAAAATTAGTCACTTGTGTAATTATTTTGCTCGGAACAAGAACAGAAAGGCCTGTTTTAAGAGTTGTTCCTTGGCCCCTCCAAGAGTATTCGTGTAGGATGCTGATGAGCGCACCCATAACAAACTCACTGCCATCGTATGGCCACCCCCTGTGGGCTTCTTTCTCCTGTGGATCTGCTGGTGGTTTTGAACCGCCACCCACACGATCACCGCCCAATGCGTAACCACAACACCACCAGGGCTCCTGAATGCACACATATCGAACACGCATTTCTGTACACACACAGTAGTTATGGTTGGGTACGAAGAGGACTGCTTGGTTTTCTGCGGCAGGGCCGTACAGGGGGTCCCACACCTACCAGTCCTAACACTGAAGGCCAGAGGTTTTGGTCTCTGATTTAAAACCCCTTTGTTGCACTCTCCTCCTTCAAGCCCCCCAGCATGGAGAATCTGATGATACTTATGTCTGTCTGTAAGCACAGCACCTTAAGGCTGGGTTTCCGGAGCCTTGCCTCCATCTTGGACATTGGCAGCACAATTCCAGCAGTATGGGAACCCACTCATGGAAAGCCTTGGCCTTGGTCACCTACCCTGCCTCCCCACCAAAGACGTCTACACCCCAGTCCTCAGAACCTGGGACTATGTTGCTTTGTGGCAAAAGGAACTTACTTGGTGCATGCAATTAGATGAAGGGCTCTGGGATGGGAAGATTCGCCTGGATCCCCTGGCTGGGTTCACCGTCGACACAGGGCCCTTTAAAATGAAAGAGAGAGTGAGCATCAGAGAAGCAGAGAAGTGAGGACTGGAGCAAGGCTGGAGTGTGTCATTTCTGGGAAAGGGCCAGGAGCCAAGTAATGTGGGCAGCTTCTAGAAGCTGGGAAAGGCAAGGGTACGGATTCACCCCTAGAGCCTCCAAAGGAACGCAGCTCGGCCAACACCTTCATTTTGGCTCTAGAAGACTTATTTCTAGACTTCTGACCTCTAGAAATTTAAGATAATAAATCCTTGTCATTTTAAATCACTAAGGCTGTGGTCATTTGTTCCAGCAACTATAGTCAACTAGCAGGACCACGACGGGAAGAAACCTTGGAGCTCATCTTTCTCTCCAGAATCAAAACCCCAGATGAAACTCCTTTCTCGAGGGACTTGCAGGGAGACCCCTGGGGGCTGGAGCAGACTCTGAATGTATCTCTGGGGAAGAGGGCTGGGCTGAGTACCCAAACGCTAACCCAGAAAGAGACCTCAGGAGGGACAGCACTCGGAGAAAAAGAAAGAAAAGAAAAACCCCTGTGGCATAGTGCATGATGCACTGGAGTGCTAATCATAAGGTCAGCAACTGGAAACCATCAGCCACCCCTCCGGCGAAAGAGGAGGCTTTCTACTCCCATAAAGAGTTACACGCTCAGAAACCCAAGGGGGCAGTTTTACACTGTTTGAGAGGGCCACTGTGAGTCAGAATGGACTTGACAACAACGAGAGGGAAATGATGGGTGAGGCCCATCGCTAACAGCTGTATTCCAGTGACTTGGCCCCTCCATCATGTTATCTAACTTAGGGACCCCACTCCCATAAGCCATACCATTCCCAGAGGTAGCCTAGCATGGGGAAAGGAACTATCGAGAGCAGTGGTTCTCAAACTTCCGAATGCCGAGACCCTCTCATACAGTTCCTCATGTCATGGTGACCCCCCAACCATAACATTATTTTCATTGCTACTTCATCACTGTCATTTTGCTACTGTTATGGATCGGGCGACCCCTGTGAAAGGGTCGTTTGAACCCCAAAGGGGTCGCCGCCCACAGGCTGCGAACCGCTGATCTAAGGCTGGGAACTCTGGGTTCTGGCTTTAGCTCAGCTCCGGAGTCACTAGGACCTAGTGACTCAGTGATCACAGACCAGCCTCCTCTTCTCTCTAGGCCTCCCCATTGTCATCACAGTGCAACCTGTCTCAAGTGCTGGTCTTGGGTGTTTAAACACTTCTTACACCTTTTCACAGATGATGAAACTTCCTAGCAGCCCTGTGAAGTAGCACATGCTCCTGATGCCCATTTTACAGCTGAGGAAAGACGTTTAAGGAGGTTAATAGCTGAGCCCCCTCGGACCCAGGCAGCCTCACTCCACCATCCTTTCTCATGGCCCATTTTAGAGTGGGGGGCGGGTGGGGAGGACTTGATGAGAGGAGGGTCCTGAGACAACAGAAATAGACTCCGCAGACTGAGAGAAACCAACAACTCCTGCCTGCTCTCCTCTGGACTTTGGGGTTTCAGATGACACAGCAACTCGGCAAGATGGACCGAATGCCTGAACGCACCCCCTGCAGGCTTGGCCCCAGGAATCCCCTTCGAGGGATGCCTCACCACCACTCTAAGACATAGAAAAAATCATCCCTAACAGCACAACCTGGTCTGTCAATAGAACAAGGAGTCGGTCAGGGGTGTATTTCATGGGGCCCTTTGGACCAAGAGAGAAGACAACTTCAGCCACACTGGGGAGTGGAAAACGGGGAAGTGCCCAAGATGCACTCCGGAGGAAGCTAGCCCATGAAGAAACGCTGGACAGAAACACGGCAAATGCCCAACAATACGCAGGGGCCGTTTTTTCCCTCCTGTGTTTCTAAATCTCTGTACTACTTTTATAATGAAAACAAATAAAGCATCTCAACAAAGCCTGGAGGAACTGACGCCCTGAGAAGGAAGGGAGTCAAAGGAGAGCTGGCAAAGAGGAGCTAGGGCCAGGTGTCATGGAGGCAAAGGCAAGAGCCGAGGGCCGCGTGGCCCTGCTCCCCTGCCCCTGCCTGCGTTCCTCGTGCACACCAGAAAGATCCAGGGATGGACGCACTCCCCACTGAGAAGCCAGAAAGTGTGCCCCTATCTGTGTATGCAGGACTAGCACTTAAGATGCAAACCAAGCCCCTCAGAGGAGCAATAAAGCACCCACAACTACCTACCCCCCTAGGGCCCGGGCCAGGCCAATGTGAGCGGGCTTCATGTACCAGGGTCTGGGTCGAATTTTCTAGTGTGTTCATTACTCTTCCGGCTCTTAACAACACACCAATTCTACTTTCTGTGTTTTCACAGGGAGCCACGTGTCACACATGCGCGCGCACACACACACACACACGCTAGCTTTCTTCCGAGTCCCAACCCTCAGCTACTTTGCAATCTGTCTCTTAAGAGTCTATGCCTCCTTGATTAAGCGCTCACTCGAGCAGGCCCAGAATCATTTTCCCACTCACTAGAGACACATATTCCCCCACCCACATATGGACCTACCAGCCTCTCTTCTTCTCCTCCTCTCTCCTGCCCTCTTTTCACCCATCTCATCAATGACCCCAAGCAATGCCAAGCAAAGGAGAGACGGTCCCCCAGCAACTCAGGACCCAGGGCAATGCTCTATCCCTGCCCCTTACCACACCCAGGGGCTAAGTCCAAGCTGTGGCGTTTAGAGCCCAGAAGTGAGGGAGGCCAGATTACGGTTAAACCAAGTGCTGGAGGACAATAACCTAAGATGCTACCTGTGACCCATGGTCTAGTGAGTCAACAAGAAAGCCAGGCTGAATCACTGCCAGATGTTCCCCCTCGTCCCCGGAGCCTCAGACAACTGCCACCCCAAATGTAAGGCCATTCTCCGGAGCCCTCTGTGGTTTGAGCGTGCTCGCACCGACATGGCCAGTATCAATTAGGCCGCCCACTTTCCTGCCAGTGAGCTCAGCCTCATTACTTTGCTCCACTTTCAGCTCATCTGAAAAATCCTCATTCGAGGTCCCTGGAGGATCTTAAAAGTGTTATTCAAACATTAGCTCTGACACACGGCCTCCCCCATTCAAACATGACCTGCCCAAAGCAGCACTTTCTTCTCCTTGCTTTTTGGTCCTGTCAGGAATGAGCCATTTCTAAGGCCCACCAGCGGCCCACAAGTTCCGAAGCCTTGCACCCCTCCTTAATCAAGACATTCCTCCATATCGCTCCCCACCCCCCTTTAAAGGGGTGAAGGGGAAGGGGACTTGATGTTGCCTGTAGACATCAAGGGGTGTCATCCCATTCAACCTTTGCAAAAACCCCATGAGGTGGCATTATGATTCCTGTGTTATAGATGTGGAAACGGAAGCTGAGCCACACTCCCAAGGTCACCTAGCCATCATATGTGGCCCCTCAGGACCACAGGGTTCCTGGGCTCTCCTCATGGCCCACACCCATCCCAGCATGCTCTACTCTGCAGGCTGCCCCAGCCTGACCCTGCAGTAGAAATCCTTACTCCTTTGTTTCAAATCCTGAACCTGGTTCCAGGTGCACAGGATGAGAATAAGAATGTAGAGCTTCTAGAACAGGTTTGAGGGGGGGTATGCAAACAGAAAATAATTCTAAGAGCTGGTTGCAGCCCCGCTCCTGACCTGCACCTTACAGGGGAACCATGAGACAGCATGCTCAGTGGAGCAATGGGCTCAGATGAGGGCTCTAAAAGGTCAGGAGGCAGCCTGAGAGCTGGGTGGTCAAGGAAGTCAGGGCAGAAAGACCAGAGTTACCCCAATTCCTTTTTTTTTTTTTTACAAAAGGAGAAGCTGAGGCCCAAGGATGGAAAGGGACCTCCTGGAGGCCGAGGGCGAGGGAGCTGTGCCAGAATTCGAATGCAAGTCCCTGACCCTTGGGTCAGCTTTCCTGCACTTCGAAGAAGGAAGGGCCGGGAGCAAACCATGCCTGGAATGAATGACAAGAGGAGTCAGCTACTGTCTAGTTGAGAAAGTTGAGCCCAGAAACCTGTATTTTGAGGGGCTCCCCGCTTCAGTCTAGCCTCTCACATCACGGAAGATGTAGGCAGAAACAGGCTTTTCCATTCACCAAAGCTCAAGCTCCACTGGAAGCCAATCAGAGCCTGGAAAGGAGGCAGAAACTTTGTTCCCCTGGCAACGCAGACAAAGGCTTCTCTTGAGCGCAGCAATCGACTGGAGCTAGATGTGGACTGTATCTCAGCCCATCCACACAGGGCTCTCCTCTCTCTTCACCAAGAGAGGAACCGATGCAGTTGCTTCCATTTTAGCCCCCAGCCCCCACTCATGTCTGTGGGCTCATCTTTGATAGGGAGAAGAGATATGGGTGGACCTCCAAGTTGGGGGTCTATGGACATCCAGGTATGTGGCTCTGTGATGGACTGAATGTCCATCAGTGCACCACCTCCAACTCCCCCTCCCACAAAAGCAGCGGGGAGAGTGTCAGCCACAGACCCACAGGGGAGCTTGCAGCTGCACATCAGGGGCCTGGATCCAGGCCTAGCTCTGACATTAATGTACAACTGGACCTTGGACAAGTCTCATCCCCTCTCTCTTGGGACCTCATTTTCTCCAAGTGGAGGGGTTGGACTGGGTAATCTAAGACCCATGCTTCTTTGGAATAACAACTCCCAGTCCACACTCATTAAAAAAAGAGAGAGAGAGAGAGAGAGAGAGAGAGAGGCCAGAGAGAGATGGGGGCAGAATCTTACATTGGAAAAGCTGCCCAGCTCCAGTCCAGTGCCCTAGAATACACAGAACATCCCACGGACTGAAAATGACTCTGCCCACTTTGAGGAAAAGGAGTGAAAAAAAATCACAAATCAACTGATGGATGCTGAGAAACTGCTTCCAAATAGGATCCCTAGCTTTGGCCCCTGCAGCCCTGGCCACTACCTCCTCTTCCTTCAAATCCAGTCCCTAATCTGATGGGGAAGAGGTGGGCACAATGTGGCCATCTGGGACTGTCTCATCATTAGGAAGGAGTCAA